CACTGAAGTGGACAGTTTCAAGTGGGGCCATATTGGACACTAGCCAGAGTTACTGTAATTCGCGGGCGAGGGGGATGCAGTTTCCGTCCCAAAAATATAAGGGGATAGTCATCACACAGCGTTTCCAAAAAAACAAGCTTTGGGAGTATTATATGTTCATAAAGTTTTTTATACATATTTTAGGCAGGAAAATTTGTGGGTCAAAGGATATGACGATGATGATTGTCCAGCGACTCAAGGTTTTTTCTGTTTTCATATATTACCATAAGGTGTAGTAAGCGGAAATTCCAGTTTGTAGGTATCTCTCATGAAATTTCAGGAGGTGCCTGTTTAGAATCTTTTGATCTTCAGATTTTTATAGCCAAATCCGCTGTCTAGGTATGTTTATTGATTGAACGGGAATAAGAGGAATTGGACGAATTTTTTAAATTATTTTTATTAAACTCAGGAGCTCTTAATTATTCTGAAGAAAATACTCACTGCTGCGATGTGATTTTCAGAAGAAATCAATCAGATGCCTTTCGCCGTCGATCAGTTCAATCAGATGGCATAAAAACAGCAAAGATTATGCAAAAAATAGTTTCGAACGATGGAAAATGGAATCGTGTCGTTTAGGCGGCTTCCTCCCACTGTTTCCGCGGAAAAATTCATTTCTCCTGTACAGGTGCCGTGTTTATTTTCGCGCAGCATTTTTGAAGTTGGTGAAACTGGAAAGCGCTCTCACAGCGATTTGTTTCAGTCATTTAATGGAGCGGTATGATGGTACGAATTGGGATTTCCAGTTGTTTCGGAGCATTTATGGCGAAGAAGTGCTGAAATTATTCGACTGCGAAATTGCCGTTTCAGTACAAACGGAGTTAATGGATTGCGAAAATGTAACAGCGTAGAAATTTGTTGGATTCAGGACAGTTGCTGGGACCCCTGAACTGGGATCCCTGTTTAGTTCTGTGATAGACTCGTTGGTCTAGCTGTTCCAAAGTAGTTGCGATGTATACATGGCTTTGTGGGAGCAAATTCTGAATTCGTTTTCCGACGCGCACCAGAGCTGTTATCACGGCTTATCTGCTACGAAATTCTCGTGTCGCATTAGCTGATGTCCAATCGGGGTCAGCCAG